TAAATTACTCCCGAGAGTTGAGCTAATACTTAACCGACTCTCGAGAGCAGATTAGGATTCTCAACCAACTTCCGAGAGTGGAATAAGTCTGCCAATCACAACATATTAAAAGTAGCTGCGGTTCTATGTGAGTCACAGTCTATGCGGAAAGGCATTGTGATCAGCGTGAGATTTAGTTGCAGAGAAGTCGAAATAGAATAGCATCAAAGTTTTGAAGTGTTCTGCAGAAGGTTTCACATACTGACTACATGGGTTTTTACCCTTGCCAGCTCAAATGGCTGAACACTAGCACAACCACCTTCGGTATAAAACCAAAGGTGAGGTCAGAAATAAATACATGCATTTGCACTTAAAGTCTACTACATTGCACTCTAACATCACATTCCTTTGTTTATAGCCCTCCTAGTCTACCCTTGTGATATCTTAAGTGTCCAAAAGGGTTTTAAGTGATCTGCTAGGTGAGGAATTTCATCATAAAAGAAATTCATCTGCTAGGCGAGGAACTCTATCATACAAGAAATTCACAAACCCAAACATATTGTTTATATCTCTACCTGTAGTTGGCTTATTTAAGGGTTTTTGTTGTACCATACCGGGATTGATTTTTATACCTCTCCAGGATATAAAATATCCTAAAGATGTATCTCGCTCTTAGTGAAGTGTCACTTCTTTTCGTTTACAAGTTTTATTTGTTGAGTCGTTGAAGGACTATTCATACTAAAGTAGCATGTTCGCCTGCAGTCCTGAAGAAGATGACTATGTCATCGGTATATACGTGCACATTAGACATGTCTGTGAACATATCTTCCATTACTTATTGTGAAGAATGCAGGTAGGTGTGACCCGAAGGAAGCTTCTTTGAAACGATATTGCCTTCCTTTTCACGTAAAGCCAAAGTATTTACAGTGTGGTCATATATATTTAAATGATATCCTTGTGTCAGATCTATAGTACGAAAGACTGTAGCACCTTCCATTCTTCTTTATACCTCGTTTGTACGAGGCAAATGAAAGCTATGAGTCGGCAATAACTTATTTATTGGACTCATATCTAAACATACTCATCGTGTTGGTCTACGGCTAGCAAAGCTAGATTAATAGGCATTTGTTGATAGTTTATTCTACTTCTCTTTTACTACTGCTTCGTGTCTCCAAGATACGCAGTTTCATGATAATCTTAGTTTTCTGATTCACTAGAATAAGATCCATAATCTTACCGGTAGTATGCTTTGACTGTGTTGGCTGGTGTTATATATGGTTATTGACAATTACCGTCTGATTGATCCTTTAATGGATCTTGTCATTACGTAGTCCCGTAACGGTTAGACTTTTTGTAAAGAGGTCATTCGTTCCGACTATAATGTCGTAATAGTGTGACGTATTTCTTATCACAGCTTGAGTTGCGACGTTGACCATCTATCAGCGAGATTCTAGCATACGTTGCTCGCACTCTGAAATCTTCTCATCTGCTAATATAAGATGAATTGTTTGTGTTCTATGTTCGATATATTTCATGAATGCAAAGCTATCAGATATACATGCCATTTCTGAACGAGGACCAATCAATGCAAGGTCTTTATTTCCGTTACAATATACATGGATTATTACACGTTCATCTGAATATTTGTTATATTGCCGTTGTAGGAAATATAACCCGTAGCTCCTTCACTCGAGCTTCTTGTCTGTTTTGTTGTCACAGGCCTTGGCATGATAGCCATTAATCTTCTCGCACTTGTTACGCTTGTTAGGAAAGTATCTGCAAGTTAGGGAGTGTCTCCCCTTAAATAATCTAATACATGTCATACTCACTACCGACATTTCTCATCCGCACACATCTTGATCTGCTTATACGGAGTTTTTTTTCTCGCGCGTGCCTTCTTATTGGTCCACGTGTTGAGTGCAATTTTACGTGGGTGTGCGTGTGTTTCCACTTGAGAAACCTGTCTTGAGACATACCCCTGATCGGAGTGTTCTCGTGATTTTCTATGAACCACCTTCGCCTTTGAAGTAACGTGATCCGAAGGGTAAGTATCGAATACTGTCTCATAAAACTGTGCTCAGCGCAAGCGAGTCAGATAAAACATATTCTCGAGGCCTTTGCCCCGTGTCTCGTTGGCGTACATACGGCGGATCTCAGTCGTTGCTGCCGATGCTCATGCAGAATACATGTGTGGCTAGCAACTCGTACCATCGCGGCTTGCCATCTCTGATTATATCAGGTCTGACCAAGTCAGTATCGTGTTTCAAAAAGTAGCTCAAGGCGGATGTGTTCCGTGGAGGAGATGCCAATATTGAACATTATCCTGGACTGCGCATATCCTTGCTCAGCAAGAAGGTCAATAATCAGAATTTTTCTGGTCAATTGTTCTCGTCTATGCGCTTGTGAAGGATCCGGTAATTGATAAGGGGCTGAGACGCCACCCACCCAGTCTATGTTTTTCATTAGTTTTTCTTTCTGCGGATGGATGCATACGTGTGCCATATATCAGGTGTAGTAGGACCAATTTATTTAAGTACAGTCATCAGTAAAATCGGGATACGAGACTACACACCCCTTTATCTATTGTTGGGGCCCGAATACCTCTTTCTTCCCATGCCGATGTGCCACGTCACCTCTCCCATCGAGAAGGGTTATTGTGTATACAATCTGTGTGCCGTGCCTGACCAGAAATAAATTATGCAAAAACACCTAGAATAAAACCGAGGAATTGAGATTGACTCAGACAAGCGAGAGCACTTTTTAGGTTGGAGAACACCTAATACAGGAAAGGACATTAATTCAGTGTGTGGATTTGTAAACCTTTTTACAACAGGAGTCCCACACCTTGTTGAATACATGAAAAATTTATTTCATCTAAGAGATCATAAAGGCAAACTGCGTGAACTATGGGACAAAATAATGCGACGACGCATTTAAATTTTGAACCAGAAAATTATAAAATAAGAGCTTCTCAGGAAAGTAACTAACTTACAACACTTCAAGGATGACCTATAAGGCACAACCTTTGAAGTAGCTCGTGATCAAAAGTCCCTACAATATATGAAGGATTTGAAGCCTGATCCAATGGTACGATACATTAGCCAAGTTCTCATACAATATGGCACTTATACTAGGTAAGCATGACCGTTTACCGGATTTGTTACCAAAGCTAGTTCCAGACTATCAAAACTAATTCCAGAATACGTAGAAATACACTAGGCAAGAAAAGTTGTGTTGTCCTTTAAGAAAACTTAAACCCTGGCTTAAGAAACTGATGTCAATGATACAATGCCAAACGATATATGTTAATAGATAAGTGAATACATTTCGCCATGAGTATCTGGGCTATAAAGAAGACCTCTTGGATGCATACCATATTGTGTACAGGTCTGGTAGAGAACTCGACTTGGACCCCATCGGATGGAAGAAAGTACGATTCCTCTTATTACAACACAAGCTCCTGCTCTGCAATATGCCGAGGAAAATAGAACAAACCAGGCCTCATAAGAAGAAGTGTTAACGATGGGTCAGAGAACGTCAACACAGGTGGATAAACTGACAAAAGCTTCTAATACAGAGAAAGCTTAATAGTAGATATCCTGAATCTGACCAGTACCCTCGAGGCATTATTGAAAGACATGTCAGAAGTTCATGGTACACTTATGACATTGTTTAACGAAAGTAATGCTGTAGCAGCAGCAGCAGCAGCAAGACGCAACACGATGGATGAACAAGAATTCAAATACGATGAGCAAGGTCACGAGACGCAAAATGAGGATCAATACGGATCTCAAACAAAAAGTGACATGGACATAATAAAGCTCATATTAGGCTATTCAACACCACAATCTAAAACATGTTAGCAGGAAACCTACTCTACACGATGCCCAAGCAGAGGGGATTGACCATACCAAACTCAGGACGATTGTACGCAAAATTTACGACTCCTGTTGGGATTGTGAATATCATCAGATCAAGCGTTATGGGTTCGCGCCACTAAAACGTGTAATAGTAGACGAATCTTGGCACAAGGTAATCATCGACAAGGGTATGTTACCATGTCCGAGCATACAAAATCACATTATGTTTGCCATTTTTTTAGTGTATTTTCGAGGTATAACATCTTGCAACCGACGAGAATCACGACTACACCAGAGATTTCGGAAGTCATAAAAACTGTCTTTAATGACCACGGGTGGACGGCTATCATGGCGACAGACAACGGTTCAGAGTTTTGCGCAGACGTAACTGCCGCAATGACTCTAGGGTCTGGCATGTGCAAACTTAAGACCTGGATTGTGAAATTGATGACTCTGTAGATGGATTGGGCGATAAGCGTTGAACCAATGTATTTTTGCTGGGGGGGGAGGTGGAGCCAGTGTGAGGTTGCGGTCACTGTAGGGCCTGTGGGCTGTGAAATTCACAATTTGTCCTTCAATCACACTATGTGTGTTATTGTTGGAACTGGAGGTATTGTTGAAAAATCCTCCCATCATCAAATTATTATTTTTTAACTCGCACGGCCAATATTATAGTATGCCGGTACCTCCGAATGCTTATTGTACGTATAACACCTGCTATTTAAGCACGGACTGTCTAGCTGTAGTTCACAACACGGTGAGTTCATAAATAGTTTATTAGTCAATTCTCCGAGCTGTTTTAGCATAAATGCCCGGATGATTCTACTGTGTTACCTTTGAGTATATTTTTTCTTGGTCTAGCCTAATCTATATCTCTCTGCGACGAGCTGTAGAATGGATCGCTGTTTAATAGACATCTGGAAAAAAAGTAAAAATATTCTATGTATTTTTTGTTCATTCTATTCCGTTCGGGTCGTGGTCCTCCAGGGACAAGAAGTTGGATTTGTCTGCGTTTGTTACTTGGCTTCTGAGTTGTAGTCCCAAGAAGATGCGGGATATGTGGTTTATACGGATACCACTTTCCACCTTTATCGTTCACTGGTGGGAACGTTCGGTTTTTGTCGGCAACCCACCACACCCGCGCTTGCATCCGCAAACGACTTAAGATACGACAAGAACCGCAGAACTAAATGCCATGGCGGACAAGCATATCCAAAAATGACATCCAAAGGGACCGTAAAAAGGGTTCCCCCCCCAGGTACCAACTCTCGGCTCATCGGATGCATAATCCGGCAACTGTGCATTATAGCGATTGACAAATAGGTTGATGACCACCCCCGGCCATTTCTCCATAGCACGCCTAAACCACTCCGGGTTCAGCCGCTGGGTGCGCTTCTCGTGAGCTACCGGCACACAACCAGCTACCGGTAAGGCATCCTCATCGTCGATAAAGTCGTCTTCAGTAGGCAACGGCACGACATCCTCCGGCTCCATCAACTTCAACGGTCAGTTGAAAGTAACACGACGTTCGACCGACCATAGAGCACGATCGACCACAGAAGTATGCATGCGCGAGGGACAGTCACCCAGAGCATTAAAGGGACCTGGGATAAACGAAATCTCTGCGTCCACTCAGCTCATAATTTCTAGCGCCCGCCATGCTCGTCGTTTCTTAATACTCGACGTATCCGGCGGTAGGGGCTTGCCATTCAATAAAGTCTCGAAAGGCTTATGATCACTGTGTATTTGGAACGGCAACCAGGAGCGCATGGCCATAAACGCAATCTGTGGACCATAAATTCCGTCGCAGAAAGTTCCAAATCTAAGACATGGTAGTTACCCATGGACGGCGGAAGCTTAGACTTACCCATGGACGGCGGAAGCTTAGACTTACCCATGGACGGCGGAAGCTTAGACGAGTAGAAACGCACACAGAGTAAATACTTCTTATTGTAAAGCGCAACCCCATTTCTCTCATCCCACACGGCAAGGGCCATAACAAGCTGTTCGTTAATAAGTTATAACGACAACTCCTTGCCCTTACTGATTGCATCTTCCACCGGAGCAAGGGTTCAACGAGCAAAACCTTCGCCCTCTCTAAGTAGCGAACAAGATCATCTTGGGCGGCTCCCCATTCACTCAAGGCTGCCCGCAACGCATCTGTCCGAGTTTTTTGCGCCAACCACTGCCGATCCACCTCAGCTTTCTATCCAGCAATCCTCTCCTCCAAACGCAAAAACTCTACCGGAGACCACTCCACCTATGGCAACATCAGAAGTATCCGGGTATGCATGCAACTCCTCATGCTGTTCCGGAGAGTAGAGACACATTCAGTTGATTAGAAGCCACAAGCACCGGTCGTAGGCTATCTGACATTCGAGATTCATCTCAAATTGGTCACATTTACGCGGTTGGATGATTAAGGGTACCAACGACGCACTCAGCCCGGGAATGCTGCATGACCACCAGGACATCGTGCAGACAAGCGTAAGTAGTTGATCTTTATCTTTCGGAAGCCCAATACTGGCGATGCCCTGCATGCGCTCGTCATCGATGTATTAACGAACCCATCGTACCACAGGCGCCTATAAAAGTTATTCGGCACACTCTTCGGAACCGCAATTTGTGTTTCATGGCGTTGAATTTTGCACCAGAGCACTCTGAGGGCCGAACCAACTGCCACAGCGAGCGCCAGTGCGCCTTATCAGTCTCCACCTCAGCCGGAGACATCCGTGCTGAAACTGGAGACGCATCCTCCTTCGTAAGAATACTAATCAAGCGAGGTACCGTTTTACGCAGATATAGCCTACCCTGGGCTGGCGACGTTGGAACCTATCCTCAGAACGGTCCATCCGCAAGGAATCATCGCTACGATGTCGTTTAGGTAACCGGCTGGTCGCTGCACTACCATCCTCCTGATCAATCATCTTGAAAGTACACGTAGCGTCGCCGTCCACATTCGATAAGAAACCCTCGACGTCCCAGAAAATATATTCGTTGCGTTGAGTATACTGGGCCGGGACAACAACAAGGCCATACCCCGCATCGATGCGTTCGTATACCTGGACATCCCTGGAGAGTAACCTAGTTTTGTGGCGGTCCTCCCCATCTATGGTACACTGATTGAACCCATTCGCGTTATCAGTGACCGTGCACCGCCAAACATTGCATATGTGTCGGCGCAAGTGCTCCTCACTGGGCATATTTGGTTGGTCGCAAATACTCCACTTATTAAGCCCAACGTATGCTTGAAACAAACGATAATCATCGTCTTTCTCTTTTCCTTTGATAGCGAGGATAATAGTGTGGAGCCAACCAACCCCCTTCATCCTCACAGCGATGTATGATACCCCTGGCAAACCCAGTAGCACACTTCTCTTCTCTGGGTCACGATTGCGAAACGCAATCCTCGCCCGGATAGCATCTAACCGAGTGGATTTCTTGGAGTATACATGTGGCTTAGGACTTCAACGATTCCAAGCGGCTTTTATCTCTGCAAGTTCATCCGCCACGAGACCCCAATGCCAGCGATAAGCTCGTCGAGATGAGTAAATTCTCACGCAGAAACCGAGACTTTCTCTTCCTGAAACGGAAGGATCTCCATATTGCATATCATCTCCCTTGTCATATACATCAGGGAGGACATCGGAGCAGGTAGAACCTTGGCTATCAGGAAGAACGCAGGAGAGACACATGACGTATCGCACACAGACTCCAAGAGATTGTCGCGTTGTTTGTGCAAAAAAAAACAAACAAACTCCAGAATAGCGTGCTTCCCCAAAGTTTCTTGTCCGTTCGGAACGGACAACGGCTATGTATATTGTATATTGAAAAAATTACAGACACATCTACGGCAAACTGAGGTGACAGGTTCAAGGAGCCGTCATAGGCCTCCAAAACTTTCCTGGGAATAGCTACACGCTGCAATCCTTCTGGCTTCACAACTGAACTGTGAAACATCAAGGGAAAGGAGCCGGAATTGCAGTGCAGCTAGACCTGTGTTTGTAGAAATACGGCCTCCGGTCAGTCTAAAATATCAAGATCAATTGAGATAACACATTGCTTTTTATTTGTATTTAAGATAATTTAGTACAAGTTTTTTCTCTCCAATATTTCCAAAGTGTTCTAAATTCACTATGATGGCTCCAATATCCCGAGTATTTGGTATGACTCATTTACTTGTACCTATAAGAGACGATAGTAGATTTTAGAATCTCTGAACTACTACTTAAGGTTTTGGTCTTCCCGCCAATCTCCAAAATCCAGCAAGTCTTCTTCTTTTTTATAACTTTTCTTCAGATGGAACATTATTTATATTAGCTAATGTATTAACTTGTGTGGTCAGAATACAAGTACTTAGGTTTTAGTTGTTTATTTTAGTTATTATAGTTTTTACAGTTTATCAGAATAATCTGATAAACTTGGTTTTTTGCTGACTATTACAGCACATGACTTATGACTCACTTTTAGAGTCACTAATTTTACAATTACTAATAAATGAATAACGTCTCCCTCTCTACGGAAGGAGAACGTTGAGATACAGTTATCCATCGTTTACTTACTACACTTGACTTACGTTCTTATGTCTATCTACAAATTAGACATGTGGTCATGAACACTTTGTACTTCTAGTGAAAACTATTCAGTAAAGAACAGCTAGAGGTACGTCCTGTGTGATCGAGGATATTAAGGCTCTTACCAAGAGGCAGTCCCGATCATTCTTACACAAGCTACCACTGCTAAATCCTGACTGACTTAAATTGTTTCTTAGTTTATATAACATAGTTTAAAACATAGAAATATCCATCGAAGTTTACATATTTTTCTTCTTCAGTTACCTAGAAGTTACCATAGTGTTCTGCTTCTAGACTGTCTAACAATTGCTTACTATCCAGCGACAGGACTGTAAGTATTCTAATATTACCCTAAAGTTAGCTACTCGCTAGTTACTATACCTAGACTTTATTAATTTTCCTATTCTTGAGCCATTACTATGGCTAAAGGAAATTCTAAAGGCAAGGAAACCGCCAGCTCTAAGTCTGCCAAGCCTGTTGAGGTTCCTAGGGTTACTGGGGACGCTGGTCCGTCTGGTACTGAGCCTGCCGTTGAAGCTGTAGATGAAGCCGTTTCCGAGCTTGGTTCTGAGGAAAACTCTGAGGATAACTCGTCGGACCCTAAAGCCTTGGAAGTGGAGGAAAGGCTCGCCAGCGTCCGTGTGTCTCCTAGTAGTGCAGCCCGGGGCCTCAGCTCGCCATCTGGCCGCGAAAAGTAAGATATTGGAAAGACTATATCTCCTGAACAAGTGGAGGAATCGTCTCAAGATCGACGGTTTATTACTACTAAAAGTCAGCCCAATTCACCTATTAACAAAGATGGCGGCGTACCATTTCGTGAAATTTCATTGAATGCCTCGCCACTGAATGCCTCGCCACTGAATGTTGGGGCGGAAGACGCAAATGTTGGGGACGTCATAACTCGACAATGAGTGGTTGGATCTTCTTAATCTCGATGCCATTTGAACCGCAAAGATGACCTTTTAAAGAAGCTAGCCGCTGCCTGTGGTCAGAATACAAGTACTTAGATTTATTTGATTATTTTAGGTTTATTACAAGTTTTACAGTTTATCAGAATAATCTGATAAACTGGGTTTTATGGTTTTGCTGGTTTTACAGCACATGACTAATGACTCATTTTAAGAGTCATTCATCTTAGGATTACTGTTTATAATTATTAATAAATGAACAACGTCCCCCTCCCTGAGGAGGGAGAACGTTGAGATACAGTTATCTAGCGTATACTTACTACATGCCGCAGTTTTTGACCATTCGATCATATCCCACGTGGCCGATATTCTTCCTACACCGGTTTTAGTATTATTCTGAGCCGGGTTTCAAACCTGGGACCCACTGGTTTACCAACCAGCAGGGTTACCACTAAGCCAGTTACCGCTGGTGAAGTGGGTAAAACCTCAAGATTTAATCTCTATAGCTCGGAAGCTACAATCGACCATCCTCTCGACAAACCTAACCCTGTCAGAGGCTATGATGGTATGGAAATCACAGAGGCTTACCACCCTCATAAAATCGATCCTCATTTACCATCGAACCCTGGTAACCATGACTTTGGTAATCGTTATACCAGTACCTCACTAGAGAGTACCCACTCTAGCTCTGAAGACGAGGAAGTGAGAACCAGACAACATCGTCTCAGGCTAATACGTTCTGGTATGCAAG